TTATATTTTCCTTTTTTTTTCATTAATTTTTTTTTTTTGTTGGAAAGAAGGCAGCCTTATGGTGTGGATTGTGATCTTCAATGCTAATAGATACATGATAAACTTAAAAAGTGAATTAATTCATTTAATTAGATATATTAATTTATGTATTTATATTATTTATTTCATATTTTTATATAAAAATATAAAAATTATCATATTATATTTCATTAAACATAATATATTTTTTATTTTTATTATATACATATAAAATATAATTTTAATTTTTATCATATTATTATGTTTTGTTTAAAATTTTGAGATCTAAATATAAAAAAAAAAAATCAAAATCTATTTTATTACGCAAAAGCAGAATTATCAAATTGCTGACCTTTTAGGCCAACGACTTGACAATCTCCACAATGGTAATGGCATTGCTAGTGGATCTGCTTATTTCCTTGAAAAGGAGAGATCCTACTAAAAGTGAGAATTGCTTTCGTGAAAAAACTTTTTTAGGCTTCATGAATGAAGTGATCACTTTCACTCTTTCAATCCCCTGCCAAAAAATAAAAAAATCAGCTTTCTTTCCCTACCACCTAAACATTATCTCTATCAAAATCAACAATGTAATTGCTGAAGAAAACTGCATCCATATGCCCAAATATCTCTCCATCGCTCTCACGTACACATTACCAAACAGCCGTGCCCACCATAACCAGAATATCCCTCTATTCATAATAAATTCATAATAAAAATATGATACAGTAATATAACATAAAAATAATATAAAAATAATATATTTTATAATTTTAATAAAATTATATATAAATTTAATAAAATTAAATATATATTATATTTTTATATTAATATAATATAAATATATAAATTATTAATAATTTATATATTATAATATAAAAAAATTTATATTTGATATATTATTAATATATAAATTTTATATATTATCATTGAATCAAATAATAATAATTAATTAATAAAATAAAATATATTATAATACTTTATTAATACCTCATTAATAATAAATTTTTTAATTTATATATATTTATTTTAAAAATTAATATTTATTTATTAATAAATTATTATTATTTTATTTATAAATAATGTAAGACAATATATCATATATAAATTTTTTAAACAAATTACGGGATCTACAATGATATACGACTTTGAAAGGGGCCACCTCACTCTCCACCAAATGCCATTTCTCTCTCTCCCTTAAACATATGTTTCTGTCTTCATACTCCAAAATGAACATCTCATCTCCACCGACTAGTGCTTTTCTCTTCACCTCTCTTTCTCTCCCTTTCCTATCACCATTTCTGTCTTCTTCTTTACTTCTACTCTTTCTCTTCCCTTCTTCACTTTAATTAAATCAAATCCAAGGCAATTGAGCTCTTGAAACTACTACCTTCTTACCATGAGTAAGCTTGTTGTGGAAGTGCTTGAAGCCTATGATCTCATGCCCAAAGATGGTCAGGGTTCTGCGAGTCCGTTTGTGGAAGTAGAATTTGATGAGCAACGTAAAAGGACTCAAACCAAGCACAAAGATCTTAACCCTTCTTGGAATGAAAAGCTTGTTTTCAATGTAAACAACCTCGGGGATGTAGCAAACAAGACCATTCATGTGACTGTGTACAATGATAGAGAAGGCAACCATGGTCACCATAATAATTTTCTTGGTCGAGTCAGGATTTCAGGCGTTTCTGTCCCGTTGTCTGAGTCTGATTCCAGTGTCCAACACTATCCCCTTGATAAACGTGGCCTTTTTTCTCATATCAAAGGTGATATTGCATTGAAAATTTATGCCGTGCATGATGGAGCTTCTCACAACGGAGAGCCGGTACATGCTACTCCTACTAGTATTCCTGGAACTGAAGAAACGTCCCCTTTTCAAGAACCCCAATTCCCAGAAACTCCATTTCAGGAAATCAACACTAACAATTTCGATGATGAGATCAAGGTAGAAGAAAAGAAGAACAAGAAAAAGAAAGAACAAGAAGTGAGGACTTTTCACTCTATAGGGACTGGAACTGGGGGTCCTCCGCCAGCTGCTCCGCCTCCAACGTCTACTGGGACGGGATTCACAGCAATGATGGAAAAGGCACCAGTGGTGGAGACCAGAGCAGATTTCGCTAAAGCAGCACCGCCGGGCGTAATGCATATGCAGATGCCAAGGCAAGAGTTCCTGTTGGTCGAAACTAGTCCACCTGTGGCAGCTCGTTTGCGATACAGAGGAGGTGACAAGACTTCAAGCACTTATGATTTGGTGGAGCAGATGCATTACTTGTTCGTAAATGTGGTTAAGGCAAAGGATCTTCCTGTAATGGATATTTCAGGAAGCCTTGATCCTTATGTTGAAGTGAAGCTTGGGAACTACAAAGGCCAGACCAAACACTTGGAGAAGAATCAAAACCCGGTATGGCACCAAATCTTTGCTTTCTCAAGGGAAAGGCTGCAATCAAATTTGCTTGAAGTAATTGTGAAAGATAAGGATTTTGGCAAGGATGATTTTGTTGGCAAAGTTGTTTTTGATGTTTTAGAAATACCTCTTCGAGTTCCACCAGATAGTCCATTGGCTCCTCAATGGTACAGATTGGCAGACAAGAAAGGGGACAAGGTTAAAGGTGAAATTATGCTGGGAGTTTGGATGGGAACACAAGCTGATGAATCATTTCCAGAGGCATGGCATTCTGATGCACACAACATTAGCCCCTCTAACCTCGCTAATACACGATCAAAGGTTTATTTCTCTCCCAAGCTGTATTACCTTAGAATTCATGTCATGGAAGCTCAAGACCTAGTCCCACATGAAAAAGGCCGACTACCGTCTCCATATGTGAAGGTAATAGTTGGTAATCAGATTAGACCTACAAAGCTACTAGAGCGAACCATAAATCCAGTTTGGGATGATCAGCTTATGTTTGTTGTGTCTGAGCCTTTTGAGGATTACATAATTATTTCTGTTGAGGATAGGGTTGGAGCTGGAAAAGATGAGGTTTTAGGGAGGGCGATGATTCCAATTAGAGATGTGCCTCAAAGATTAGAAACTACTAAGCCTCCAGATCCCCGCTGGCTTAGTCTGCTCAAGCCATCAGTGGCAGAAGGGGAGGGTGAAAAGAGGAAAGAAAAATTCTCAAGCAAGATCCTCCTACGTGTTTTTCTAGAGGCAGGGTACCATGTTCTTGATGAATCCACACATTTTAGCAGTGATCTCCAGCCATCATCAACGCACCTTAGGAAGCAACGCATTGGAATTCTTGAACTTGGGATTTTGAGTGCAAAGAATTTGCTTCCTATGAAGATCAAAGATGGTAAGATGACAGATGCATATTGTGTGGCTAAGTATGGGAACAAATGGATTAGGACTAGAACTCTTCTTGATACTCTGTCTCCTAGATGGAACGAGCAGTATACTTGGGAAGTTTATGACCCTTGTACTGTAATTACCATTGGTGTGTTTGACAATTCCCATATCAATGGAAGCAAAGATGATGCAAGGGATCAAAAGATTGGGAAGGTGAGAATTCGGCTATCAACACTTGAAACTGATCGTGTTTATACTCATTACTATCCATTGTTGGTTCTTACACCTTCTGGTTTAAGGAAGCATGGTGAACTTCAATTGGCGTTGAGGTTCACATGCACAGCTTGGGTTAACATGGTGACTCAATATGGTAGGCCATTGCTTCCCAAGATGCACTATGTCTTTCCTATACCACCTAGGCACATGGACTGGCTGCGCCACCAAGCAATGCTGATTGTGGCAGCAAGACTGCAAAGAGCAGAGCCACCACTGCGGCGGGAGGTGGTTGAGTACATGTTGGATGTGGATTACCATATGTGGAGTCTCAGAAGAAGCAAAGCGAATTTCCACCGCATAATGTCACTTCTTTCGGGGGTTACTGCTGTTTGCAAGTGGTTTAATGATATATGCTATTGGAGAAACCCAATCACAACATGTCTGGTCCATGTTTTGTTCTTGATACTTGTTTGCTACCCAGAACTAATATTGCCTACAATTTTCCTCTACCTATTTGTGATTGGGATATGGAACTACCGGTTCAGACCAAGACATCCCCCTCACATGGATGCCCGGCTTTCACAAGCAGACAATGCACATCCAGACGAGCTGGATGAGGAGTTTGACTCATTTCCTTCAAGCAGACCATCAGATATTGTAAGAATGAGATACGACAGGCTCAGAAACATCGCAGGCAGGGTGCAGACGGTAGTTGGAGATTTGGCAAGCCAAGGGGAAAGGGCTCAGGCAATACTAAGCTGGCGTGATCCAAGAGCAACTGCAATCTTCATCATCTTTTCCTTGATCTGGGCTGTGTTCATTTATGTTACCCCATTCCAAGTGGTGGCCGTTCTATTTGGGCTCTACTGGCTCCGCCATCCTCGCTTCAGGAGCAAGATGCCTTCGGTGCCTGTCAACTTCTTCAAAAGATTACCATCCAAGTCAGACATGCTACTATGAGGAAGGAAGCTTCTATCATTAGTTTATCATTCGTTTAATCAGTTTGTGAATAAGACGATTCAGTAAACAACTTCACAGGATCATAGCATAAGATAGGGAGAGAAAAGCAACTACGCGCTTTCTCCCTTGCTCCACTACCTCATATTAGAATCTCACTTTTCCTGCTTTGGCTGGATATGCACTTCTCAGCTTTCTTCAGATTCATCTATGGAACCCACCATTATTTTTAGCTACTACTCAAGATTTTGATGAGCTATAATCTGTGTACTTAATGAATGTAAGCAAATGTCCCCCTATCACTGGTTAAATACTCGTAATTCGTATATTCATATTATTTTTATATAAAAATTACATATCAAAATTTATAATTTTTGTTAAAATTTTAACGTCACTTTTATTTTTTTATATTATTTTTTAATCGTGTCACTTTTATGTTTTAATTTGCAAGATATAGCTGAAAAGTAGTAAAAACGGTAGAGGAATTGTAGGCCTCTGTCTGCAAGTTTTGCAAGTTCGGTTATAATAAACCATAAATGTTATACGAGAGTTCTCTAATTGAAGAACATTGTACGCAGCAAAATCTTTCAAATCTCATTGGCACTTGTGTCAAAAAGTTGCATTGGTACAAAAAAAAAATTCTGTTTAGGCAATTCTGACATGGGAATCCTCCAAATCCAAAAACAGAATATAATGGTTTCTAGGACAAAATTCATTTTGACAACAAAGTCCTAAATTCTAGATGCATTATTACAGCTACAATCACCAAAAAGCTGACAAGGATTCCAACGAGCAGAGCCATATCAACAATACCCCAGCCGCCCAGGGCCCAGTCCTGCTTATTCTTTAGCCCCAAGGTAATGCTGTTCTCAACCTGTTTGTTCTCATGGTTCCTTCGCTGCCTCAGTAACCAGCTAATCAGATTTTTTCTGTTTCGATCTTCCATCCAACTATCATTCCTGGAAACCGTGCACTCTTCCAATCTATCCTGTCCTCTACAGCTGTCTGGTCCACAGGAGCAAGGTCCTGGCTTCTTTGAACATGCACAACTCTCATACTGATTGGAGCAAGGAGAACGTATCTCCTGAATAGACACTTTCTCTGGAGACATTTTCACATTTGCTTGGGTGAGAGTCTCAATCACTTCTCCAAACACCGACCATCTTCCCACGGATGTTATCTTCACAATAGCTGAAGTACCCAACATACTTTCTGGAGCAATTACAAGAACCTGCACATATCCCTTCGTATGGCCAACCTTGGATAATGAAGTGAATACGAGCTAGATATTAGCACACTAGACAAAGTGAAAAGTTGTAATTGGAATATTCAGTAAAAAGTTGAAGTATGAATCGGATTTTCACAACTGGCTTCATGTGCAAACAAGCTAGATATTAGCATGCACTGAAAAATGCATTTAGATAAACTCTTAGCACATAAAATGCCAAGTAATAGTTTAAAATATCCCGTAAATCAGTAGACCATGAACTGGTTTTGAACAGAGAAATTATACAACTAGCTTCAACAATTGTTTAAGAGAGTGAAACAGAGACGACTAACAATACTTGCCAAAATGTTTTAACATGACTTTCAAAATAAAAAGGAAAAAGAAATTTTCACACCTTGCATTCCATCAAATCCAACAAAAAAGGGAGAGCAAAATGGATCCAGAGTAAATCAACTAACACTGAACTGGCTTCCAAGGAGCAGTTTATTTCTAACCAAAAATTGAAGCAATCAAGTTCACCAGAGAGCAAGACACCGGGACTACAAATACATTAATATGCCATCCCAATGCAACTTAACAGATGAGTTGTGACCCACAACCATCGGACAATAAATCTAGTTTACACTGAAATCTAGTTGCTTAAACTAGTGCCACAACATAGGATGAAAAGGAAGCATACAGAAGTGCAAAAGTTAATTTTATCAATTGCAAATATTCGTACCAAGTGAATTCCATCAGTTGCAATTTCAGTAATCCATATTCTTTCAACTCTTCCTTCCATTCCATTGTATGGTGCAAAAGCTTCAAAAATAGAAGTTAATTCACGGCTCCGATTCTTCACTATAGTACTTGGGACCTTTTTCATCCTTGCAGCAGGTGTCCCTAGTTTTAGAAAGATCACACGCATGAACTTAGCTGACTATAGCTAGGAGCACATAAACAACTAGTATTTACATTGGCAAAGCAAGCTGCCAATAGTTTGTTTAACAAAGAGGTTTAGAATCATAAAGTTAAGCTATGTCTTGATATCACAATTTTTTGGAGTGATACATGGAGATTTAAATTTACATCCACAAATCTAGAATCTGTGTACCATTTCTAAAATGGATTTATCAGAATCAAATGCAGCTAAATACTGGAACAAACACCTTATTTATATAAACTTGCTACTTCTTGGTGTAACAAAACTTGGAAAGCTAGATGCAAAATATTCTAAATGTATTAGCACAAATCCATGATCTTTAAAAAATTTAAAATGAAACATGATCTACAAAGAATTTTGAAGAGACATTAAGAAATCCTAACTAAAAAAATCAAGATTAGAAATGAGCAAATACTCCATGAAATTTAAACAGATTCCATCACACTAACAGAGAATTTCAACATTACATCATTTGTAGTTTTGTTTTGCATAAGAACTACTAAAAAATTGCCAAGGTGACTTCACTCCAACAAAAAAAGGACAAGCTAAGGCCATGGGAGCCCTAAGTTCAAATACAAAAAAAAAAAAAAAAATAGTATGCATATTTAGTTGTTGAGACTAGAAAAGCAAGTTTTCCATGACAACAGTAAAAAAAGATGCAAATTTGGTAAATCTGAATAAAGAAAAATCACAAGACATGCTCATAAGTTAGATGTTCAAGAAAATGGAATTAGAAAATCTTACTAATCTCCTTATTTAGCATTTTGGGAAAAATATCTAAGAAACTAGTTTTCCTTAATCAAACAAAGCCAAAAGTTTTTCTTCAAAGGGATGCACCTGATTGAGTCCTTCCACACCATAATTCCTGTTTGCCCTTGAAATTTGAGCTTAAACTTCATCAAGTTTGCGCCCAAGAGTCAAACATTTGAATATCTACCCACAACAGTCTCATTTAATAAGTTCTATTGGGCTTCTCTATCTGGACTAGTCATTGCCAATAGGATACTAATTATACAGTCAGCTCATTGCTCTAAGCTTAAGGAGGAATATTAAAGATGATTTCTGAACCATCTTCCGCCAACAAAAATTATAAACCCTCAAAAGCTTATTACAAGAATCCTTCAACTGCAATGACTCTTCACTTTACTAGATCACAGGCACATTCGACACTTCCTGGATGCATTAAGTTTATACATATACGACATTGAAATCATCAAATTTGGTGCAAAAATTTGCTAAATGCATGACATCCGTGTTTGATACAAACTCCTGTCATCTGGATCCTGAGTCCACGATAGATAGATTATGAGCCTTAGCTCGTTGTTTTGAAATCTTCCTCACTGATACTGTAGAGAAGTTATTGTCTTAGAATTATGAGTGCTCCTTTCCCTTGCTTCTCTATCATTAGATCATTTTCTAAGGGGTTTTAAGTATTTTGTGATCAAGTTTCTTTTTCGGTGAGGGGGAGAGTTATTGGGTTTTGGGGGGAGGGATTGATGGTGCTAAATCCTGTTGATATAAAGTGCATATTTTTTCCTGTTTTTTACTTAGCAAAACTTGAGTTCAGACCAAATCTCATGGACATAACCGTGGGTCAATATCAATCAGATTTATTTTATACTTTGAGTTCGATAAGGGCTAAATTGTTTGTCCTGCTCTAAACTATAGAAATCATCTTTCACTTACAATTATTTACACATCCAATAGGTCAACTATCTATGTTGTTGAGGCTAATTTGGTAGTTGGAGCTTCATTTATCCTTAAGTCAGTTTGTATTACAGAATTTTTATTACTAACATCTGGATGATTTATCATCTATATCTCACAGAAGACAAATTCTGCAATTAGTTCCAAAATTAATTACTTGTTTATAACAATGCTAAATCTAAATGTCCTGCCCCTTCAACATCAGGTGCTTACATTGGCTTTGCTCAGGGTGGTTTCTAGAACAATTTTTTTACAAAATTAACCAAGGTAGTTCCCTCTGTTGTATTTTTGTTACTAAAGAACCCTGCCTCCTTGACTTAAGGTTTTCCTGTTGCAATGTCCACAGAACTTAAAGCAAAACAAAATTGATGATGGTAGTGGAAAAGAAATTAAGATATTAAGATAACTGACATGGAGATTGGAAAATGTATTGAAAGCTAAATAAGCCCTAACAATCTGCATTTTCACCTTTATCCTTGCAGCCGTCCAAGGAATAAAAGCCTTTGGAATAAAAAATTTTCCACTTTTAAATTACTCATCAAGGATTGTCAATCTCTTAAGTTTTCCAGTAAACAGAAGAAGCTGCCTAGGACACCGAAATATAGCTGAATGATTGCCACAAAAACAGAAGTGCTTAAATGGATGCTTAAGCAATGATGTATGAATATCAAGAAATTAACGAGCTCCAATAGAAATATAACAGCATATGCCTTGCAAGTGGCCTTAGAAGAAAATAATTCGTAAACAAAAGAAAGATTAAGTTTTTATTGAGATAAAGTTGACAATAGAAAAACATGTAAAAATTGTAACAAAGAAGCTGCAGCAATAAAAAACAAACATACCAGGTCTAGGATAGAACTGAGATATATGAACTTGTGGGAACTTGTATTCCTTAACAAGGTTAACTGTTTGAGCAAAATCTTCATCAGTCTCACCTGAAATGACCCAAAAATGAGCATCATTCAATTAAAAACCATAAACTAAATCTTTAAACAGCTTACAAGAGTAAACGTTCTTATAAGATCCTCAAAATATTTGTGATGTGGTATTTCCTGCCTATAAGAGGTGTCCATGGGCCTGATTTGGGAGGGCTTTGTAGCCAAATTTCGGCCCTGGCCTTAAAGAGCTTTACCAAGCCCATAGACCTGGAATAGACCACCAGTGCATGGGTTGGCTGCCTACCCATGCTGCAAGCTCCAACCTCTTTCAGCTAAGATTTTAAGACCCTAACAAAGCTGAATTCATTATTTTATTAAATAGACAATGTATTTTCATTTAAATTTATTAAAACATCAACTATTAATATAAACTACATGTACTGTTTTAATAATAAAACTTCATGTTCATGGGTGGGCCAAGACTAGCTCTCTAATGTTTGTGCCAAAATGAAGTATGGTCGATGGGCGGCAAACTCTAGCCTGAAGTTCTTAATATTAAAATAAATTATTTTTTATTAATATTATCATTTTTATTTAAAATTAAATCTAATTAAATAACATTATTTATTCAAGGAAATAATAACTTGTACTGGCTTGATTCTGGGCTTGGGCTAAAAATCCTTGCTCAGCCCTGCCAAAGCAGGCCAGGCTTGCAGAACTGGGCAGCCACACAGGCCCAAAGACAAGGCAGTATCCTAAAGAATTTCCATTAAGTAGAAATTCCAATTAGTTCTGAAATGATGAGAGATACTAAGAGCCTATTTACTTTTGAAAATTATTTATATTCTCCATCTCCATTTTTACTATAGAATGCAGGCAATGAAATAAGGTAAAATACTCCAGTAGAAAACCCTTGCTTTTCTAATTTTCTAGAAAACAAGACACCTAATTTTAATTTATTTTATTGTTCAATCAATATTTAGTTATTTGCCTTATTTGATTGATCATAGTTAGAGTAAAACTGGACATAGAAAATGGAAAATATTTTCCAAAAGTAGAGGTGCCTATTGCCTAGACAAACTCAAATCTTGTTTGCAGAAGACATGAAAAGAATTTAGCATCACAAAAGGCCCTAAATAATCTTTTAGTTTTTCAGCATATATATATATATATATATAAATATATATAGCGAGAGAGAGAGAGAGAGAGAGAGAGAGAGAGAGAGACATACACACACACACATGCATAGCATCAAGGAAGAAAGAGAAAAGGAGACAACAAAATAAGCATACTAACCAGGAAACCCACATATTATATCAGTTGCAACCTGCATGCCTGGCACAAGTTCAGTCAAGGTATCTACCACAGTCCTAAACTCGCTCACAGTATATTCCCGATTCATTTCCTGAAACAATCGAACAATATACAGTAAGACAATTATCATTCAGGAGAAATTTCAGGCATTTAACTACATTAAGTACAAATTTTATTGATTTATTTTAGTTAATAAATAACAACTTATTGTCATTAGCCAAAATTAAGCAACGGGAATGTGATCAATTTTAGACTTACGGTCAAGATAGCATCACTCCCTGATTGAACTGGTACGTGAAGAAAGGAATATACACAAGGATGACGTAAAACATCTGCTATCTCTTTCAGGTGCTCCAAGATAAAAGGAGGATTGGTCATCCCAATTCGTAGCATTGTGCTCCCATCAGGAGGAAGTTCCACAACAATGGCATTCAACAAAATTGGTAGGTTAACCCCAATGTCACGACCTACAAAATTTTGTAACCTATAAGCACAATCTCCGTATATGTGTCCATATATATGTAAGCAACTGTTAATCCTTATGCACGTAAGTGTGTATTTAATGTTTTCCACTTTAGACACTGGAGAACAGGACTCCTATATCTAAAGTTTCTTTGGCATCACGGGCAGCCAGGCATAATACTAAGATACCATATGCCTCCAGT